TTGCACATGATTTAAACGTTTGGAATGTTTCAGGAAGAGATAACATATTTAGTTGCACATGATTTAAACGTTTGGAATGTTTCAGGAAGAGATAACATATTTAGTTGCACATGATTTAAACGTTTGGAATGTTTCAGGAAGAGATAACATATTTAGTTGCATATGAACGTTAGAGTTTCTGGTAAGTTCGTATGTTGGACCTCTGGCAGAAAATAATTTGAAATTTGTATACTTTGATCCAGAAGATTTTTGTCATGTATACATGAAGTTAAATGACTATAAAGCTGAATACCGTTTGTATCTCTCGGGAACTGGAACTTGCTGGAATGTTTCTTTTAAAATTCTAGTATTTATCCAACGTTTTCCATAAAAGTGGCAAAACTGGAAGAAAGTATAAAAGGTGTTGTAAAAGAGAACGCAAAACATCAACATGTGAAAGGGCAATCTAACTGTAGTGGTAGACTAAACATTATGATGGTGATGGCATCTCGGAATTATGGATAGAAGAGACCCACAAAGAACTTTTCGAAAAGTTAATACTGCTGTGAGGAATCTCTAAATTTTTATCTGTCAAAGGTGAACAAGTAATGTATTCTTAATAATCGCTATACAGCTAAAACTCTCGCACTACTTTAGTCCATTGACTGCGGATTCGCCTTATAGTGTACGGTCCGCCTCCGGGAGTTGAATGCGAGTTTACTGTATACGTACGTTTAAAGGAGCCGCGGTTAAAGATAGATTATTCTACTTATAATGAAACTTCTGAATTCTTAATCAACTATTATGAGCTAAGCCTACGTAATGGATTACACAAGTTAAAACCTCGAAGGACATCTCCACTGTTTTCTATTCCGCACACCACTTCCTAACACACAAGGTTCTTTGTTAGATTCTAAAACACAAAACTTAAGAAGTAAACAGACAGTAATACAGTCCTTTTCTTCGAGTAGGCCACAACTAGGTTTACCTGAAGTTCAATCTATAAAATTGAAAAAGGTTCCTACCGAATATAGAGACACAAAGATTAATTATACGTAACCAATCACTTTGTACTTATCTTTATAATGATATTACTGAATTGTGAGTGAACTATTATGAAGAAATCCTACGTAATTAATTACG